TCTATCATCCCAAGCCCCCTCCTCTGCTCAAAACAACCTCAAGTCTTGTCAACACAGCATCCTAAGGCCTTTCCCCCACTAGTCAGCAGAAATCCCACTGACAGAGGAATCCATTCCTGAACAGTGGCTCCCAGACGACAGGTTCCATTCTTTCAGGGAGAGAGATTTCCTTTTAGGGAGTAAACATTGATCAGCTTCGTTTAGAAGTTAGGCAAAAAGAAGATCATTACACTAAGCTGGGAAGGAGGGTGAATTATACGGAGGATGCAGAAATGCTTCAGTGTGATTTGGTCAAGCTGAATGAGTGGACAAATATATGTCGAATGAAGTATAATGTGGATAAATGTAAGGGTAGCAAAAACGGAAAGACTGGTTATTACCTGAATGGTGATAAATTGGGAAAGGGGGAGATGTAAATAGATCTAGGTGTCCTTACACACCATCACTGAAAGGAAGCATGCAGGTGCAGCAAGTGAAGAGGCAAATGGTATATTGATCTTCATAGCGAGAGGATTCAAGTGCAGGAGCATGGGTGAATTGCTACAGCTGTATATGGTCTTTGTGAGACAACACCTGAGGTATTGTGTGCAGTTTTAAGTCTCCTTAGCTGAGGAAGAATGTTCTTGATATGGAGAGAGTGTAATAACATTTTACCAGGCTGATTCCTGGGATGGCAGGACTGACGTGTGAAGACAGACCGAATCGAGTAATATATATACTGGAGTTCAGAAGAATGAGGGGGGAATCTCATAAAAATCTACAAAATTTTAACAATACTAGACAGGATATACACAGGAGGGATGTTCCCAATGACCAGGGGAGTCCAAAAAAAAGGTCATACTTTATGACACTGAGATGAGAAATAATGTTTTCAGCCAGAGAGTGGTGAGCCTGTGGAATTCTCTGCCATAAAAAATGACTGAGGCCAAAACATTGTGTGCTTTTGAAAAGGAGTTAGATATAGTTCTTAAGGTTAAAACAATCAAGAGAAGGTGGGAATAGGATCATGTGTTGAAAGATCGGGCTGAATAGCCTACTCTTGCTTCTATTTTCTGTGTTTCTATGGCTTATCCGTTCCATAGAGAGCAGCTCGTAATTGAGACCACACACTTGATGGAAGAAATATATCATCAGGTTTCCCTTTTATGCTGCAATAAATCTATACACAGAGGTCATAGCTGATCTCTAAAGCTGCTCCATCTACTCGTCTTGATTCCAAAATTCATGATGTCAAAACCTAACAAACAACCATCAATTTCCATTGAGACTTTGACATTTCCATTTGACCAGTTTGCCCCGTAGCCTCCACCCCAAATCACTCAATGTTCTTGAGATAGATTTCCAGTATTTTCTCTCAACTCCGTGTGTAGAAATGCAACTTTGAACCTGAACAGCCAAGCTCAAATTTTAATTGGACTCCATCAGCAAAGGAAATCATTGTTCTTTTGTTCAGTCTCCCCTTCCCTCAACAATATCATGAACCTTCCCTTTCAATCTCTTTTCCTTTCTTACCCTATCACTTCCACTATCAATGTGGGTGGCATGGTGGTTCAGTGGTCAGCACTGCTGCCTCATAGCACCAAGGAGCCAGGTTTGATTCCAGCCTTGGGTGACTGTCTGTGTGAAGTTTGAATGAAATGTTCTCCCGGTGTCTGTGTGGGATACTGCAGGATGCTCTGATTTCCTCCCACAGTCCAAATATGTGCAGGTTAGGTGTTTTGGCCATGCTAAATTGCCCTGTAGTTTCCAGGCTTGTGCAGGCTAGGTGGGTTAGCCATGGTGAATGCAGGGTTATGGTGATAAAGTGGGGTCTGGGTGTGTGTGGGATGCTCTTCAGAGGGTCAATGCAAACTGAATGAGCTGAATGGCCTCTTTCCACACTGTAGGGATTCTATTATATTACTTCCTAAACCTAGTGCATCTCTAACATTTCACTATTCTGATGAAGAAGATCCTCTGAACTACCTGAGGCCTCCTACCCTCCCTCGACCTCTTCATCTCCAACTGCCATCGAGACACCAATCGCCTCAACCTCTCCACCCCCTCACCCACTCCAACCTCTCCCCCACAGAACGTGCAGCCCTCTGCTCCCTCTGCTCCAACCCCAACCTCAGCATAAAACCCATGGACAAGGGTGGCGCAGTTGTAGTATGTCACACTGACCTCTACATTGCTGAGGCCAGGCGCCAGCTCTCTGATACCTCCTCCCACCACCCCCTTGATCGTGACCCCACCCCCAGGCCACCAAAACATCATCTCCCAGACCGTCCACAACCTCATCACTTCAGGTGACCTCCCACCCACAGCCTCCAACCTCATTATTAACCCAACCCCGCACTGCCCGTTTCTATCTCCTTCCCAAAATCCACAAACCTGACTGCCCTGGTCAACCCATTGTCTCCGCCTGCTCCTGCCCCACCAAACTTTTCTCCACTTATTGCAACTCCATTTTCTCCCCCCTGGTCCAGGAACTCCCCACCTATGTCCGTGACACCACCCATGCCCTCCACCTCCTCCAAAACTTCCGATTCCCTGGTCCCCAACACCTCATCTTCACTATGGACGTCCAGTCCCTATATACTTGCATTCCCCATGCAGATGGCCTAAAGGCCCTCGGCTTCTTCCTGTCCCACAGGCCCGACCAGTCCCGCTCCACTGACACCCTCATCAGCTTAGCTGAACTCGTCCTCACCCTTAACAACTTCTCCTTCAATTCCTCCTACTTCCTACTGACAAAGGGGGTGGCCATGGGTACCCGCATGGGCCCAAGCTATGCCTGCCTCTTTGTAAGATACATGGAACAATCCCTCTTCCGAAGCTACACTGGCCCTATCCCCCACCTCTTCCTCCATTATATCGATGACTGTATCGGCGCCGCCTCGTGCTCCCACGAGGAGTTTGAACAGTTCATCCACTTCACTAACACCTTCCACCCCAACCTTAAGTTCACCTGGACCATCTCCGATACATCTCTCTCCTTCCTGGACCTCTGTATTTCCATCTCTGGCAATCACCTGGAAACCAATATCCATTTCAAGCCTACCAACTCCCACAGCTACCTAGAATACACCTCCTCTCGCCAACCTTCCTGCAAAATTGCCATCCCCTATTCCCAATTCCTTCACCTCCACTGCATCTGCTCCCGAGATGAGGCATTCTACTCCCAGACGTCCCAGATGTCCTCATTTTTCAAGGACCGCAACTTCCCCTCTACAGTGGTCGTAAACTCCATCGACCGCATCTCTCACATTTCCTGCACCTCATCCCTCACACCCCCTCCCCGCAATAACAACAAAAACAGAATCCCCCTCGTCCTCACATACCATCCCACCAACCTCTGGATCCAACGCATCATCCTCCGGCACTTCCGCCACCTGCAATCTGACACTACTACCACATTTTTCCTTCCCCACCCTTCCAGAGGGACTACACGCTCCATGACTCCCTTGTCCGCTCCACACTCCCCACCAGTCCCACTACCCCTGGCACTTTTCCCTGCAACTGCAGGAAGTGCTACACCTCCCTCCTCACCCCCATCCCAGGCCCCGAGAAGACCTTCCACATCAAACAGATGTTCACCTGCACATCTGCTAATATGGTATACTGTATTTGCTGTTCCCAATGTGGCCTCCTCTACATCGGGGAAACCAAGCGGAGGCTTGGAGACCATCTTGTGGAGCACCTACACTCAGTTACCACAAACGACTGCACCTCCCAGTCGCGAACCACTTCAACTCCCCCTCCCATTCCTTGGACGACATGTCCATCCTGGGCCTCCTCCAGTGCCACAATAATGCCACCCGAAGGTTGCAGGAACAGCACCTCATATTTCGTTTGGGAACGCTGCAGCCCAATGGTATCAATGTGGACTTCACAAGTTTCAAAATCTCCCCGCCCCCAACCGTATCCCAAAACCAGCCCAGCTCGTCCCCCCCTCCCTCCTCGGTCTGTCCGTCTTCCCTCGACTGACTAACCCCCACCCTAACTCCCCACCTATACTCACCTTTATTGGCTCCATCCCCGCCTCCTTGACCTGTCCGTCTCCTCTCCACCTATCTTCTCCTTTATCCATCTTCCATTCGCCTCCCCATCTCTCTCTATTTATTTCAAAATTCCCTTCCCCTCCGCCATTTCTGAAGAAGTGTCCAGACCTGAAACGTCAGCTTTCCTGCTCCTCTGATGCTGCTTGGCCTGCTGTGTTCATCCAGCTCTACACCTTGTTATCTCACCTGAAATAGTAACTCTGTTTCCCTATCTACTGCTACTGCCTAACCTTCCAGCAACTGCACTATTTTGATTTTGTAATAGTTCTTATCTACCAATTATATCCATTAGTCACTTTAAACACATCAATTAAATAACACTTTTAATTGCTATTCAAACTTAGTCAATCCAACCGGCCCCTGTAATTTAGTAATTCTGGACTAGGAATCATTCTGTGAACTGGGGCTGCTCCCCATCCAACAGCCAAAAATCCTTCCTGGGGTGTGTTGCCCTGAACACATTTACTGTAGATGGGGTCTCACCAAAGCTCTTTACAACTTCCAGCCCTTTGTGTGATAACACTCTGGACCTCACAGATAACATTCCTATAGCTTCACTATTTTTTGTCCACTTGGTTTTAGTGCTAGGACACTAACACATCTCTACAGATCCACAGATTCTAGCTCCTCATTTATTAAAGAATTTCACTGAAGATATCCAGGATTACACCTCCAGTCTGAAGGCAACCATTTGTGCTTTCTATCCTTTGGTATTTCTGAAGTTTTGTATTTTGTGTTACTTGCTAGAATCTAGTATTTGCTTTATTGAAGCTATTTATAAATCAATAATTTCACTTATTGCTGCTTGCAATTCAGAATAAGAATAAAAAGTCGATTTTGTGGCAAATTAACGTTGTTTCCAATATCTGATTATGTGCCTCTTGCTCAGAATTTAATCTCATAGAATTGGATTTTTAGTCCCTTTAATATTCTGTTTTTTTATTTCTATGTTTGCAGTTCTTTTAAAAATGAAGGGACTTAAGAATCAACGGACGGTGAAAAGCCTGTTGATCACTGTGCTGATGTCTGTGACCATTGTCCTGATTGTGAATCTAGCAGGGACCAAGTATCTCCATATAAATCCTGGAAAGAAGGTCAGTTCAGCAGAGACTTCCAGCAATTTGTACAATTCCACTAATGTTTTGCATCTGCAGACAGTTAGTAATTGACAAAACATCTGGTCCATATGTAATATTTCACCCCCATGCCTCTCCATCCATCACCATATACCAACAATGGAATTGGACCTAGTCGGGGATGATATGTGGAAAGTGACCATGGAGCTTGAACAAAGGACTGGGGTTGGAACAGAATTTGATGGGACGGGAATTTGTTCTGAAGCATTGGATTAGTATTTCTCAATCTGAAATTTAGATTAATGTTTTGATTTTCAATTGGAATTTTAAAACCTGATAAATGAAATTGTAAACCAGACAATGGCTCATCAAAGACAAAGTCAGTCAATCAGCTGAAAGTGATGTCTGAATAGATGGTAGTTATTATGAGCAAAGTGGCGCTCTTGTGGTGCAGTGGTAGTATCCCTACCTGTGAAACAGGAGGCCCATGTTCAAGTCCCACCTGCTCCAGAGGTGTGTCACAACATCTCTGAATAGGTTTATTAGCAAAATAGGTTAGTTATTATGAGCATAGTGCCAAATGCACTTATAACATGGGTTACATTCTAACAGGTTTCTAACAGTAAACACTGGCTAGGGTCTTTCAAAGAATTAGAAGATTCAACTCAACATTGTTCCACATTACTTGTTGGGTCTTCTGAGTTGGGCTTTCCCTGAAATGCAAAGTGCAGACAATGGAGGGCTCTGTCACACTGGAGTGGAATCGTGGGGAAGATAGGATTGCTGACAATTTATGATACTAGCTGCCATCTGGCAAGTTTAAAAGTCCAGAATGAGTGAGTGAATGGGTAAGGTGTAAGAATGGGTAGGTAGGATGGTAGGTGATTTATTAGGGTCAGTGGGTAGTCTGATTTGGTAGCAAGGGACGCAATTACTAGCCTTGCCCATGAAAGATACTTTTAAGATTAATAGTTTAGCAACGCACAAATATTTATTTAATAGTGATCGTTATATAATCAAGTTCAATTTCCATTGAAAACAGAAAAACAAGAAAAAGATATGAAAGGATGAATCTTATTTTTTTTTTGGCTAAGTTCAAATTTTATCAAAATTTTCAGAGATTTTCTCATTGTATCTTACTAAATTCATCTGATTAACTGCCAGCCTTGTCCCTATCGTGTTCTTCAGGTCTGATTGCAGACCTATCTTACCATATGCCATTTCTAGAACAACTCAGCAAAAATCTGTCAAAAGCACCCTTTGTGGACTGGTCATCTCTAAAAGCCCATTACTTACCCAGACTTTCCAAAGCCAGCTGCTAGATTGAGGATGTTTGCAGAAGTGGTCAGAGAAGGGGGTTCACAGATGTGCAGGTTAGGTGGATTGGCCATGCTAAATTGCCCGTAGTGTTCAGGGATGTGTAGATTAGGTGGGTTATAGGGGGATGGGTCTGGGTTGGATGCTCCAAGGGTAGGTGTGGACTTGTTGGGCCAAAGGGCCTGTTTCCACACTGTAGGGATTCTAAAAAAAAGGAAAATGGCACCACAATTCTCTGACATTTCTCTGCAAAGAAAAGGAGTCCTCTTCCCAGACTACCAGCAGTGAAGGTCACACTGTCAGACTCTGGCAAGCTGGTCCAAGGTCACCTCCCAGGTCAGTGCCATCTCCATGCGGCAGAGGATCGGCCAGCATTGTTATATGAAGGTTATAATGAGCAGAGGGGCCTACGCTATTATGACCTTCAGTGCTCCATACATTTCTCTTTGCTTTCTCATACTCACCATATCTCTACTACTTCGACACTCACCTTCCTCTCTCTGCGCTGCCTGATCACTCCCTTGGAACACCTCGCCATCTCTAACCCACCTTCACCAGCACTAATAGCTGTGCTACTAGATTTCACCTCACTCAATTCCTCCCCATTCTCTTATTACAGAAAAAAAGTAACCCATAACAGGGAACTGAGAGCCAAGAAGAAACATCCCAAGCCACTCGCACTCAGACAACTGCTAGAGACCAGGCATCTGCCCAGCTCCAGGCAGAAGAGGACCCTATTACATTGGCAAATATCCACATGCATAGTGAAGAACAGGAACAGCAGACAGGTATCTTTGAGGCAATGGCCTCATCGCTTGGAGGCTGCAGGAGTGCAGTCATATGAGTGTCTGGCAGCCTCAACTGAAAAGGTTGGTGATTGCTATGGAGAGCCACATCCATTTCTCATAGAATCCCTACAGTGTGGAAACAGGCCCTTCAGCTCAACAAGTCTACACTGGCCTACCAAACAGCACCTCACCCCGCCCCCCAATAACCCTGCATTTCCCATGGCTAACACACCTAATCTACACAGCCCTAAACACTGGGCAATTTAGCATGGCCAATCCACCTAGTCTGCACATCTTTGGACTGTGGGAGGAAACCGGAACACCCAGCAGAAAGACATGCAGACACAGGGAGAATGTACAAACTCCACACAGACAGTTGCCCAAGGGTGGAATCGAGCCCAGGTTCCTGGCGCTGTGAAGCAGCAGTACCAACCACTGAGCCACCGTACTCTCAGGGTCTAATAGAGAGGCATATTTTCCTGCACTCCATTGCTTCATCCATTGGCACAGGGGGATGCTGGACCTGATGTTCATTCCAGGTGTACTTTTCTCACAAAGAGACAGGGTAGTACCAGGAAGCACCCAGCTGGACTAGAAATCACATGAAACCCTCTCGTGGTCCAGTAATATCATCATCAGGCTATTAATCCAGGTACCCAGGTAATGTTCTGGGGACCCCGATTTAAATTCTGCTACGACAGATAGCAGAATTTGAATTCAATTTAAAAAAATGGACTCAAGAATGCAATAACTATAGTCAATTGTCAGAAAAACCCATCTGGCTCACTCACATACTTTAGGAAAGGAAATTGCCTTCCTCACTGGTCTGGCTTACATGTGACTCCAGACTCATCACATTGTGGTTGACTCTTAACTGCCATCTGTGAAATTAGGGATGGACAATAAATGCTGCCCTAGACAGTAACAACTACACCTCAAGTGGTGTCTAGTTTCACCCCTCCAGAACCCTCCAACTCTTAGAGCTCATGCTGAAGAGGTCAACTTGCATCTAAAAGAAGAGACTTGACCGAAATAGGCTCCGCTATGGAGCAGACTCCTTTCAACCCATCTGCAGAACCAGGCGGTACAGCAAGACATGGTGGGAGGCAACTGAACATAAAAATTTATTGAGGACATGTTGGTGGTACAGGTGACAGTGCACTATATATTATTTTTTCATTTTTCACTGCTTTCACCTTGTGGTTTGTCTCTCTGTGTAGCTCCAAATGTTATTTTTCCAGCATGTGGCATAACTTTATGGCCTTACATGATGTTCTAAAGATGAAGGTCTGTGATGAGAGCCTGCTGGATCGTCTGAAAGCAATAGGGACAAGACATATTGAGTCATAGTGTTAGAGTTATGCAATGGTTGCTTCTGTACCTCTGACAATATCCTGATCCTTGTACGGCCTCTGTGTTCAAAAGTGAGTGAATTGATCAGTGACATCTAAGGCAGTAAGGTACAAAATAAATACGGGGTCAATGCAATAGGATTGCCAAGGGTTTAGGGATCCCACAAGTGTTGTGTCCTGTACAATGGGTCTTTGTGAGATATTTCTTTTCCTTTAAAAACCCTAACATCAGGGCGTACTGCACATCCTCTCTTAGAGGTCAAGTCACTTACTGCACCCGCTTTGACTACAGTCACAGACTTTTCATCCTAACATAGAGATCCGATTTCCTGCACAATGGAAGGTGACAGCGAGCTGTCCTCAGCCATTGGTTTGTACCCTCTGCCGGAACATGTCTGTGAATACCCAAACATCCAAATCCCTTTCCTGGCAGCCATTCCCATAAACACCATTAATTTTGTACCTCCTTAGATCCACACCTAATCCATGTACACAAACCTGCACCTTCCACCTTTCCATAGCAGTTTTTGACACATGAGACGACCATGCCAAAGATGATATGACATTATCCCCTCTCGAAGCAAAGGTACTGCTGACCATGGATAAATGGCATTATTGCATGACCCCCTTCCCATTCATGCTTTACCACATAGCCCCCTTGCAGCTACTATTGCCCTCTTCTCAACTGTAATTCTCCATTCCCCACAGACTATAGCCCCCAATCCTGAAGAATAATTTGCTGAGTATCCTACCACAGTGTCTTCCCCTTTTAGTCTTCCCATCACCACACCCCCTGCCCACTCCCACAACCTCCTTTCCTCTTGATTTCTTCTTTTGGATCCTACAGATTCACACAACCACCCAAGTAATCAAACCTCTGATGAGAAATGCCCGTTATGGGCCAGATCAGACTCCTTCAAAATATGTTAAGAAAGTAGCCTAGACCCTAAGGTTTTTTTTACTTTAAAGGTAAATGTGAGGTACCCTGTTCCAAATGCAATACAATTAGCCAAACTACTCAACATTAAGCAAAACCCAATTTATTCAAACATTATAGTTAAAATACAATAAAGAAAGAAGAACTTGGAATAACTTAACTCTTTTGGAAAACTTAACAGAATAATAGGTACAGTAACTATCACTAATTCACTGTTCCAATATAATAACATCCCATAAACACACCCTTTGGCAAAAGGGCAAATTCAGAACACAGATTGTCTCACATGCAACTTTCACATAGGCAGGTAACCCCCAGCTTTTGGCTGTAACTGAAAGAGGGACAAAAAAAAGCTTCCACCTTTTCAAGACCCCAACAGCAACTGCAGAAAGCTAACTAAAAGTCCTGGACTGTGAGAGTTTGACCACAGCCACTCAGGTTGCTTTTATTGTCCCAACTTTTTAAAAAAACCTAAGGCCTCACTGGTTGTTTATCTTCTTATAGACTGCTCGGTACCTGTCCCCCAATCTTTCTCTAAAAGAAACCAGGACAAAACATACCTCTTAAAGGAACACCTCTGACTGGTGGCTTTATATCTCCTTGACCATATTAGCCCCAATCTGC